TTTTTTTCTCGAATTTTCAATCGAAATCTTTATTTTTTGGGAATATTTTCGAGGATATTGTCAAAATTAGGATACATATCTATTTCTGAGCATAGTTATGTATGATAAATTGTTCGAAAGTTGATGGAAAAATGTTAAATTGACAGGATACTCTTTTTTTCTCGAATTTTCAATCGAAATCTTTACTTTTTGGGAATATTTTTGAGGATATTGTCAAAATTAGGATACATACTTATTTCTGATCCTAGTTCGTATTTATGGTAAATTGTAATGGTAAATTGTTTGTAAATAGATGAATTGAAATCTTTATTTTTTGGGAATACTTCCGAGGATATTGTCAAAATTAGGATACATACCTATTTCTGAGCATAGTTCGTATGTATGGTAAATTGTAATGGTAAATTGTTTGTAAATAGATGAATCGAAATCTTTATTTTTTGGGAATACTTCTGAGGATATTATCAAAATTAAGATACTATTTTTGAGCATAGTTCGTATGTAAGGTAAATTGTAATGGTAAATTTAAAAATAGATGAATCGAAATCTTTATTTTTTGGGAATACTTCTGAGGATATTGTCAAAATTAGGATACTTCATTATCAAGGCACATATTATTTATCACAATTGGTATAATAATGATAAATTATTTGAAGATCGATGAAAAATTTCAGATACATTAACAAGATATCCTTTTTTCGAATTCTCAATCTTTACTTTTCAAAAACACTTACGAGGATATTACTTGTTAAAGTCAGGATATTTCGTTATCAAGATATGCGATCTATGATCTATTTTTGATCATAGTTTGTATAATAATGTAACGATAAATGGTTCGAAAGTTGATGAAAAAAATGTTATTAAATACAACAACAAGATATTCTTTTTTGGAATTCTCAATCAAAATCTTTACTTTTTGGAAAGATTTTCGAGGATATTACTTGTCAAAATCAGGACACCTCATTATCGAGACACTATATCTGCATCATACCGATGAAAAATTTTAAATACACTAAGATATCCTTTCTCTCCAATTCTCAATCGAAATCTTTACTATTCAAAAACACTTTCGAGGATATTGAAAATTAGGACCTTGTCGAGATCATAATTCGTATAATAATATAACGATAAATGGTTCGAAATTTGATATTAGAAGAATTTTCAATTCTTTCAGATCTCTTTCCTTTTTTTTGCGAGCCGAATTCTCGAGAATTCGATCGTTTCAGATTTAACCTTGCCTTAATTGCGCGCCGCTAACTGAAGAAGTCATCCGACCGCTGCTCGAAATCTTCTCCAACAACGTACGAGGATTATTTCGTACCTCTCCTAGAGAACACTTGGACACGTTCAGATCTCTGTTTCTACTCGAGGACTTGTAAATCTTCTCGTTAGATCGTGTCCCCGATGGAGGAGATCCTCGAGAGAACCTGGAAGCAATGTCCTCCGGAGCAAAACGTCGCTATGGCATGTCTGGAAAAAAAGAACGAACAAAGGAACGAAAGCAAAGTTCCAATTTCTCGTTCCACTAGACTAGTGAATTCTTCTGCTCGGATCAAACCATCGAAAAAAAAAAAAAAAGTGACGATATCGTTTCCTTTCCGTGTCCGGTTCTCGTTTCGCGATTATTTCCTTGAATTTTCCCATTTCGTCCCGTTTTATCATCGTTACTTCTCGATAATAAAACACGAATCAAAGAGAGAAAGCTGTTACATCAATGGCGCGACTAAAATCATCGATTCCGCTCCATTGGAAAAAACCTTGATTTCCATTCCCCTCCATTTTCTGCTTCGCTTGGATTCAACGCAGAGTTGATCGCATCAAGCGTGGACGTGGTTTTAATATAATCTGTAATTTTTAGAATATCCTTTTTACTTCTTCCTTAGAACCACAGAACGAAAGTTAGAAAAAAAATTTTATTATCCTCGACGAGAGATTTTCCTCAGAGAGAGAGGATCGAATCGAGGAATCGGTCACGCGAAAGGTTGTTGTTTCGGCCAACCTTTTGCCTCTCCTTTCCCATACCTCTCTTCTCCCCTCCCTTTCACCACCTGCGCGCACGATGCCACGAGCGAATCGTCTCATTAGCCGAGCCCATATACGGCCGGTCAATTAAAATTTTTACCGGCTAGCTAAAATCCAGATAACGAACCGTGTTCTCTTCGTATCTTTCCCTCCTCCCGTATTTTTAAGGAGCGGCCCGACTTTGCGCGGGAAAAATTAGAAACCGAATCGAAAAATTTTCATTTTACTCGAATCATTAAATTCCTCGAAAATTATTTCATAACTTTTGAGATAGATAATTATTTACAAAAAGATTATTTTATCTTTCAATCTCGATCTTCATCACGAAGATGATTTTATTTGGCGTTTTTTGTTAAAAAGTTATTAACGAAAATATTTCTTCAGATTTCTAAAACCTTTAAATTGGCCGACAGTTAGACATTCAATTTCAGAAATTGAGATCGAACAAACAAACAAAAAAATTAATCCAATTTCTAGTTTCATAATTTACACTAAATTCGAATTAATCTTCACGAATAATAATATTCTTCCCTTAAATATTTACTCTAAAATAATTGCACGATCGACAACGTGATCGAGAGAAGAACAATAATACATCTGATTTTTTTTTGGCGGCACCCGTTGTTTTCGTTGTCCGCTTTGATCGCGCGCGTCACTTTCAAATGGAATCGATGCACCGACGCGGGCACCGCACCTCTCCTGCCCGCGGGATCGATTTATTTGCACTGTCCCCGGATATCGGCGGTGATTGCCGCGACCGCGGTCACTGTTTCATGATCGACCGCTTCCATCCAATTCTAAACTGTCAATTGCCGTCCCGTGTTCCGATCCTGCGGCCACTGCAACGTACTTACACGTCCCGCCCAATGTACATTGAATTTAAATTGAGCCACGTGCGCGTCAACGTGTCCCCGTATAATCCCGTCCGCGTTGGCGTTTAATCAGTTTCTTCGAATCCAATTCTCTTCCGCGAAATTTCATCGCTTTTTTCTTCTTTTTTCCATTCGTCGATTTCTTTTTTAATCGAATATATATTTATTTATTTATTAAAAGAGGGAGGGAAGGAGATAGCGATAAAGGCTGCGATTTGGGGAGAAATTTTTGGCGAGAAGCATTGCTCCTCGTTGCTCGACTCGATGGAAACTTTTCGTCGATCGTCGACCACGGCTAGTTCTGGCTGACGGTTTGAATATTCATGCGGACAGGTCGACGGCGCGACGAGGATTTATATTCATGAAAATTCTAAACGTTTCGCGCAGCGGAACTAAGCGGCGTCCACGGAGATCCCACGGCCGTGGAGAAAAAGTTTTAGTTGCGAAGATTTAGATTCCGAGTATTCCGTGATTCCATTTCTCAGGTGAAAATCGATCTCTTTCGAGAAGAATTCGAATTTGCGCAGGAATTTGTTCGATAGATCAAGGAGTTGGCTATGCAATTTGAGAAAGCTGCACCAGAATTATAAATCCATTTTTCAACAAAGATTACGAAAAAATCGAATGTTTTAATTCGAATTTGCGCAGGAATTTGTTCGAAAGATCGTGAATTCGAGAATTTGAGAAAATTATACGAATTATAAATCCATTTTTCAATAAAGATCACAAAAATCAAATTTATAGAGAAATTAATTCGAAAGATCGCGAATTGGTTATACAATTCGAAAATTTATGAAAATCACACCGGATAACCTATCATCGATGCTGACTACGAGTCCACGAATGAATCCAAATAAGGAAGATAATAAAAATAAAATAATTTGAAAATTTGAAAGAACGATAAACGGAGCAAATTATTACTCGAGTTTATTCCCTGAGTTTATTTGTCTAAAAATTAGGAGAAGCTCGATTTATTGCTCGCGTGTTAGCAGGCTGTTGACAAGCTTGGCATAACTCATCGCGGCGGACGACGGAAAGAAAACAGGTTGGCGAACACGTTCTCAACTCGGAGCTTGGCTCGAATAATCGTGCACGATTATTAATCGACTCGTTCCAAGAAACTAGACGCTTGAAAACTTCCTTTTTTCTTATCCTTCCACCACATCTTTCCATTATTCCTCTACTATTTTTTCCAAAATTTAAATAAAAATGCATACAAATCTCTTAATTGCGAAAAAAAACGCATTTACGTAATTGAATCAGTTCCAGTTAATCATCGTGATTTTCTATTTCACGATCGAAATATACTCCTTTCCGTGACACGTATGAACGAGCAGAGTATCGAGGAAGAAACGATCTCGATCGGTAAGAGTGATTCATGTTCGATGGGTATCGAGGGAACCGATCCGTTAACGGGCCGCAGGACAAAACTCGAGACTATCGTGCAGGATTTACGCCTTTCCCTCGGCGAGTATTAACCGCGATTTTCCGCTTTTGGAGACGCGGAAGTCGTTAGGGAATCGACGATCGTGGATATCGTAGGTGGAAAGAGGAGGTTTCAGAGAAGAACGCAAATCTCAATGCTCTTCGATCCGTTTCGTTAATCAATCTGAAAATGGCCACGTTCCGCGAAACGAATCCGAGAGAGAAAGTCACCGAGTTGACGTTTAACATTCGTACGTATCGAATGACCATACGAAATCCAATGAATCTCCAATGATTTAGACTTCTTTTTTTTAAACAAAAAATTTAAAGAAAAGCGCGTGACAAGTGAGAAGAAATTTTTTAATTTCGAACAATCCGTCAGTGAAATTACAAATAAAAAAAAATTATTTTAATTATTTGTATGAACAAATGTTATTCGAGTATTTTAATAAATAAATTCCTTAAAAGTAACTTTATTTTTTCAATAGATTAATGTCCAACTTTTAGTTTCATCATCGTGATTCTCTACTTCGCGACACACTTTTCACACGATGGAAGAAAAACGAATCGTATAATCGTATCTCAGAAAGAGTTCATGTATTCGTTCGTTTTCATTCTCGACGCAACGTCGACACTCGAATCGATCAATTTCCTTCTAATCCGAATTTCTCTCCTTGTGCTCAGTACGTGTTCGTGGTGATGCTGGTGTTCGTGCTGGAGGCGGGTGTCGGTGCCTTGGCGCGTCTCTACGAGGAACAAGTCAGTCCTGAATTGAAGATGAACCTTAATCGCACCTTCCTCGAGAACTACGCCGTGAGGCGCAGGGAAACTTCGGCGATCGACCAGATGCAGATAGAGGTGAGTAGTCGAGACAAATCGAAACGATCAAAATCATCCAATAATATTTCGCGAATATGAATTTATTAAATTCACGTGTCCCTTTGTTTATCCGCAAAACGTAATTCTCTAAAGCTTCTTCTTCGTTCAAACGTATTCCCCCGATCGATCCTTCTCTTTAGAAACGAAACGTTTCAGCGAAGATATATCATTGTTTACAATACAAGTTCACCGAAGAGACTGTTTTTGTTTTTACTCTTTCTTTCTTCTCTCTCTTTCTCTTTCTATCTCTCAACGTAACCGAGAACGTCGTTAACTTAGGTCGTACGAGTTTGGCCTTACATGGCCACGATATCGCCTCACCCATTTTTCTCTCTACGTACGCCACCACTCCTGTTACTTGTCCGCTACGTTTACAAAGGCAAATCATCGTTATCGCGACGGAACGGTTCGTCCTTTTTGCGAATCGATCCGCGACTGAAGAACCGCTGCTCCTTACATCCGTCCATTTTTCTCCCCTCTTTTTCCCAACTCTCCTCCTTCTCCTCTTCCTCCCTACCTCCCGTTCCTCCTGCGCGAGAGAGAATTCCGAGGTTTCCTCTCTTTTGCAACGGTAGGAAAAATATATAGTTCGGTTGTTTGTTTTATACGGTGAATGTTTCACAGTTCAAATGCTGCGGTGCCCTGAGATTCGAGGACTGGATGGTGAGCGAGTGGCACAAGGACGAGAATGTCCTCAAGAATGGGAGCCTCGTGCCGGATAGCTGTTGCAAGACACCGACCTTCCTCTGCGGAAGGAGGGATCATCCGTCTAACATCCATTACACGGTACCGATCGACTTTCACCCGCCAATATCTTTGCCAATATTATCATTACATTATATAAACTTGAAAGCTCGAAAGATCGAATATCGATGAAATAAAATCGATCCACGAGAGAGATCAATAAAGATTCAATTCAATATCCCATTCAGGGTTGTATCTACAAGTTTCTCGAGACGACGAAGGATCACCTGATCATCCTCGGGGCTGTTGGCCTGGGATTGTCGGTCCTCGAGCTGTTCGGCATCGTGCTCGGCTCGTGCCTCTACATAAAGCTCAGGCACGACTTCGACGACTGAGAACTGGTGCAAACACAGGAGAGCAACAATAACGGCCGTTCCTGGTGCAGATACATGCAGAACGGCGCTGGAGTCGTTTGATCGTTGGGACGGAAGGAAAGAGAAGAGGGAGGGGAGCGGCCGTCGGGAAGGGGTGAGAGGAGAGAGGAATCCTTCTTCGCCGTTCACCATTTCCTACTTTTTTTTCTTTTTCACGTTGAATTTCCCTCCGAGTTCCAGAGGGACTCGTGGAATTTCTATTCGATTCTATCCCTCTCCCGGAGAACGACTGCAAAGAAAAAGAGAGGGAGAGGGGAGAGTAGAAAGAGAAAAATGGAGGGAAAACGGTGTGCGAGGGGAAACGTTCACGAGTCGTCATCGTGACATATGATACTCCTTAGCCACAGGAATCTTTAAAGTCGGAATCCTTTTCTCTCTCTCTCTTTCTTTCTTTTTTTTTTTTTTCGCGTAAAGTATAGCTCGAGATTCGAGACAAAAAAGTGGATGCAGATCGCAGGACGAATTCGACGTAACCAAATGAAATTTAGTTGGAAGAGAAGACGAGTCCACCGATTTCTCCTCTTTTATCTGGATAATGAATCTCGATTAATTCTCGACTACTGCCCGGAATAACTATCCTCCTCCCCTTTTATTACCCATGACAATTTTATAGAGAATATTTTAACGAAACATTTCCATCTTTCGAACTTGTTATTATTCGTATTTTCGTAAGGAGATCGCGCTCTAATCCAAAGTTTTTGTACGCCGTTTCTGTTTTCTCGTGGGGAGGGAACAGAGAGGCATTCCTGTTTTTATACACGGAACGACATCGATCACGATGCCAGCGTTTATACTCGCGGCTAGTGATCTCTTCGATTACGAATCGAATGTTCTTCCTCTCGTACAAATCACGCTGTCTCGTCGAATACTGCCGTAACAAATTCGCACAAATGTTTCTAAAAGTATATATACACAGATTACACGATTACGAGGAGCGAGTTTAGCGTTCTTTAGCTAGTAAAAAAAAAAAAAAAAAAAAAAAGTCACGACGACGTGTTCCAATGGTCGCGATCGAAACACGGCGCTTGTTCTTTGGGGCCAAACGATCCCCATTTGTCGATCAAACGGACCATTTTATCGTCCTGCTTTTTAATCGAATATAAAAACAAAAAAAAATAAATAAAAAGTAAAAAAAAATATCCGAGAAAAGAAAGATCCGATTGTTCGAGCGAAACGATCGTCCTTCTATTCCGTTAAAATCAATCACCACTCACGTCCTCTAGTTTTCTTGTTCTCGTAAAAAGAGAATTTTTATTCGATCAACTGAAACGAATTTAACGGATTTAACGTTTA